ACTGTTAATAAACACCTGTATTTTCTGAATGATGGCTTTCGTAGTTCTCCAGGTTACTGCCCCATACAGTAGAACTGTCTTGTCATTTGTATTGAAAATCCTGACCTTGGTGTTGGTTGACAGTTGCTTTGAGTTCCAGATGTTCCTCAGTTGTAAATATGCTGCTCTTGCTTTGCCGATCCGCGCCTTCACATCTGCATCAGATCCACCCTGTTCATCAATGATCCTGCCCAAACATGTAAAGGTTTTTACATCTTCCAAATCTTCTCCGTCAATTGTGATTGGATTGGTGCATGCTGTATTGTATCGAAGAATCTTGCTTTTCCCTTTGTGTATATTGAGGCCTACTGCTGCTGAGGTTGCTGCTCCACTGGTCGTCTTCTGCATTTGTTGTTGCATTTGGGATAGAAGGGACAGATCATCTGCGAAGTTCAGATCGTCCAGCTGCATCCTAGATGTCCACTGTATCCCGTGCTTCCCTTCAGATGTTGACGTCTTCATGATCCAGTCGATCACCAGGAGAAAGAGAAAGGGTGAGAGTAGGCAACCTTGCCTAACACCGGTCTTCACTTCGAACGACTTTGTCAACTGTCCTCCATGCACTATTCCGCAGTGCAATCCATCATATGAGTTCTGTATGATATTGACTATCTTCTGAGGCACGCCGTAATGTCGAAGAAGTTACCATAGTGTTGTTCTGTCCACGTTATCAAATGCCTTTTCGTAGTCGATGAAGTTGATGTATAGTGATGAATTCCATTCAATTGATTGTTCCACAATGATCCGTAGAGTTGCGATTTGGTCTGTACACGATCTATCCTTACGGAATCCTGCCTGTCGGTCACGAAGTTGGGCGTCTACGCAGTCCTTCATCCTGTTTAACAATACCCTGTTGAAGACTTCCCGGCATTGAGAGAAGAGTGATGCCCCTGTAGTTATCACACTTGCTGAGATCGCCTTTCTTCAGTATTTTGATCAGAAGTCCTTCTTTCCAATCTGTTGGTACTTGTTCCTCATCCCAAATCTTATTGAAGAGAATGTGGAATATCCTTGAAGTTGCCGCTACGTCTGTTTTTAGTGCCTCTGCTGGGATGTTTTCCGGTCCTGCTGCTTTGCCACTCTTGATTTGTCTGATGGCCATGCTGATTTCTTCAATTGTTGGTGGGCCAACATTGATTGGGAGGTCCGTGTGTGCTGCTTCGATGTTGGGTGGGTTCAGTGGAGCTGGTCGATTCAAGAGTTCTTTGAAGTGTTCTACCCACCTGTTTTGTTGCTCTTCAATGTTGGTGATTACCTTGCCTTCTTTGCTTTTCACTGGTCGTTCTGGTTTGCGGCGATTTCCAGAGAGTTTCTTTGTCATGTCATACAATTGTCTCATGTTTCCTTCTCTTGCAGCCTTTTCCACCGTCGTTACTAAATCTTCCACATATTTACGTTTGTCGGTTCTGATGCTCCTCTTCACCTGTTTGTTTACTTCTGTGTATTCAGCTTGTGCCTTGGCTTTTTCTGCTCATATTCGGCTGGTATTGATTGCTGCTTTCTTGTTCCTCCTTTCTTGAATCTTATCCAGTGTATCAACAGTGATCCATTCATTGTGATGGTGCTTCTTGTGGCCCAGGACCTCATGACATGTTGAAGTGATTGCCTGTTTGATCCCCTTCCAGTTGCTCTCCACAGTATTTCCTTCTCCATTGAGTAGATCATGAAAGGCCTGGAACTTGTTGCTGAGGACTATCTTGAATTTGGTGAATTTGTTAGTATCCTGAAGAAAGGCCGTATTGAACTTTTGTGATATTGTCCGCCCCTTTGTCCAGTGTTTCTTGAGTTTCAACTTCATCTTGGCGGCCAGCAAGTGATGATCTGATGCTATATCAGCTCCTCTCTTGGTTCTAACGTCCTCTATAGTCCTCCTGATTTTTTTGTTGGTGCAAATATGGTCGATTCGGTTTTGTGTAGAGTGGTCCGGTGAAGTCCATGTGGTTTTGTGTATGCGTTTATGTGGGAATATGGTGCCACCTATGACCAGCTTATTGAAGGCACATAGATTTGCAAATCTCTCACCATTTTCGTTTCTTTCTCCCAGTCCGTGCCGTCCCATGATGTCTTCATATCCAGTGTTGTCCGTTCCAACCTTGGCACTGAAATCTCCCATCAGGACGGTCAGGTCCTTTGTTGGGCACTTCTCGATGATTGACTTCAGCCTATTGTAGAATTGATCTTTAACGTCTTCATTGTAGTCGTTGGTAGGCGCATAGCATTGGATGATGTTCATTGAAGTGCCCTCTTTCTTTGTTTTGAAGGAGGCTTTGATGATCCTGCGTCCATGAGATTCCCATCCTATAAGTGCATTTTGTGCTTGTTTGGACAGCATCAATGCAACTTCTTGTGTATGTGGTGCATTTTCTTCTTCATGGCCGGAGTATAACAGGAGCTCTCCTGTAGTTAGTCGTTGTTGTCCAACTTGTGTCCAATGTGTTTCACTGATCCCAAGTACCTCTAGGTTGTATCTTCTCATTTCTGCAGCAATTTGGAAGGCTCTCCCGGTGTCCCACATTGTACGAACATTCCATGTACCTAAATAAATGGTCGCTCTGGTTGTCAGAAGGAGCATTGGCCTCGTAACTTCCGAAGGAATTCGGCTTTCATCATGAAGCGTCATAATTCTTCTAAATGAAGACCTTCTGACTCCCAGGGCAGAGTTTAAAAGGTTTGAATAATTTTTTCTGGTTAGCGTTTTTTTAGCGAGTTGGTTTTCTACGGGATGGGGACGCTAACCCCATGCCCAACCCTCTTCCTTTATCCGGGCTTGGGACCGGCAGTGGCCCCCGGAGGTACTACAGGCGGAATTCGTAAGTTAAGATTATACCCCCCAAAACGACAACTTGAAAGCTTTCACTTACTGACACGGCTCATTTACACTGAATAATTTAGATTTGGTTCATGATCACCTGATATCACTTTGATGATTCCTAGCAGTAAGCAGAAAGTAAACGGTGGCTGGTTCAGATGGGTGTTTGTATGTTTTTTTAAAAACAGTAACAATAATTTTTAGCTGCTGAAATGTTTTCCGTGTAAGAAAGTTGAGACTCTTTTTTCGTCCAATTGTGCACGTGATATATTTCAAATTATGTCAGTGCAAAGTAGAAACAATTTTGATTCAAATGGCACCTGATATACAAATACATATTCAATACTATTGTTTGATTTTTCTTCTAATTAAGTTGTTTAAACATATTTACATAAAATAAGGTAATCGATTTGGGATAAAGGAAATTTCAATATACGGAAAGTTATTTGTTGCGGATAAAATTTTCACATTCTTCATATTGAAGACTGTAGATGATATTTCTGTACTGATGTGTTGATATCCCATTTTAGTTAAAAGTTATAATAAATTAAGATTGTGGTTAGAAGGGGAATCAAGAACACAGGTTTCGTCCTATCTGGGATTCGCTAGACGAATTTACATTCATCCCCAATGTCAGTGTTCACACATCGAAATTCCATCCATAATATCAACAACGAAAATATTTTGAATAATAACTCCATACACGTTAGAAAAGTTAGCGCCTTTCCTAACTCATTAAATTTTTAAATAATACTTTGTCGCTTCAAGCGACATTTACTGCGTTCGAGTTCCTGTATGATTATCAACACTGGGACCCCCAGTTACACCCAGATGATGAATCCAAAGCAGGACGAAATGCATGTTGTGGACTATGCGGTTAACCAGAATTCAGATTTATTAATACAAAAGTAAAACAAAACGTGGGCTTTTTACATGTAATGTATACGATTAGGTCAGTAAATTTATCGTTTTTTTCTCAAGCCAATAAGGTTTATCAATGCATCACCCCTCATCCCATTGTTTTTACGTTGTGTTAAGTCTTTTTACTTCAATATTTTAGACCTAGTACCTAATATCTTCAGTTCTATATACATCGTCATTGTCACACTTAATAATAATCTATTTCCCACTTGATCATACATTCTACACACATGACATACGTATATGCACCGGGTCAATTTAGTTGGTCAGTGGAACATTTTCATCAGAATCTAAATTTCCTCTCTGTTTTACTCTCCGTAGTTTTATTTTGTGGAGAGTCAGTCTATTTTTATCAATCTTGTCTGATTTGTCACATTTGATTAATGATTTTGAAATGATAATATTTGTAAATTGGTTTACTGATATTGAAAATATTCATTAATCATACTTTTGTAAATGCAGTTTATTTTTACTCTGAACAATAATATCCATTAAATACTCATTTTATTAAGAATTTTTATGATATAAGAACTCTAGACAACTGTGTACCGATCACTTTTTTCAATGCTGACCTTGTTTAACCAATTGTCTGTTTTTATTTGTGTTTCTATCGGCAATTATCTTTTTCTCACAGTTTAAGAGTTGAACTCATTATTATCCATCTTTTTTTAAATGTTTTTTTTCCACATATTTATGCCTTATTTAAAATGTGCTTACTTGGATCATTTCATATTTATTTCAAGAAGAACGTTGTTTTTAACTGACAGTTTGTTTTTATAATTAATAATTGTCGATTATTATTTTTTCTATCATTGTATATTGAATAATGAACGGCATTGCGTAACTTTTTATAGTTTTGCTTTCCTACATTCTATTGACAATAAATATTTCATTAGTGACTTTTATGTTAACTTTATAACAAGAAGTTCTATTAGTTTTAAAAAATCCCTACTGGTTTATTTTTCAGTCATTTATAAATACTCTTCAAAGCATGAACTGTTGGTTTGGTTCATGTGAAAATGAAACTTAATCAATCCGTCTTAACCTTATGTTAATTAGGAAAGATGTTTAATACGTAATTGTTAAATGTCTTGATGAAACCAACTAATTTATTCTCTATTTCTGGGTGTGCACTATTTTAATTCGAACGTGACGTCGTTTCTGTAGGATTATTTTTACTCGATTCTCTAAGAAACTGGATATTATTTCATTTTGATTAACTTCATTGTAGGTTCTTGTGATGCTGCTGATTTTCTCCGTGAAGCTCAAACAATGAAACGCTTACATCATCCTAATCTGATACAATTGTACGCTGTTTGTACACAGACAGAACCTTTCTACATAGTTACAGAATATATGTCCAAAGGTTCTTTACTAAACTACTTACAATCTCCTGAAGGTCATGCACTAGATATGCAATGTTTAATTATGATGGCTGCTAAAATAGCTTCTGGTATGGCGTATCTTGAATCCAGGCGTCATATTCATCGAGATTTAGCTGCTAGAAATGTTTTAGTTGGCGAACAACATGCTGTGAAAATAGCAGATTTCGGTCTTGCTCGTATGATTCATGTAAGTAGATTGTATTAACAAATTATTTGGTCTTCATTCCATATCCTTACTGTTTTAATTATTTATTCAGTATTTTCTTATAATTTATAAATGACAAGTAGATTAGTTTTCTTTAATGTCTTTCTGCTTTTATTTGTACGCCTATTCATATATTCATTAATTCTTAACTTAATCATTGTTATCATTTTAATGTTTATCATTTACGTGATTTTTATCGCGTTTGTATGCTCATTGATTCTTGGGTATGCATGTGTGATATATACAGTGGTTTCTGTAATCTGTGACATTATCTTATCAACCAATAGGTCGCACGTTTGTAACCCGCTTCACTTAGTTGAATTCATACCACGGGATAGTACCAATAATCTTTATAAGATTTTTATAACTAATCGGCGAGTACATCAACTTGTACTTGGCAAATGAGTTTTATTACATTACTGTTAGCGGGACATAGATTGGATCAAAGCGTGCTCAATGCACGATTGCGTCGATGCACGCTGAATGGCTAATTCTTATCCAATCAGCGCTAGCCGATAATTGGAGGACACTCTAAAATCTTGTCATCTAAAAACCATAAATATACTAACGTTTTTCTGATTATGCTTCTTACTTCCATCTACCCTCGTTATTTGGGACATAATTTTCTTCCTATTCAACCGTGTTCTGATTTGGGGACTTGTCGAATGAATCGATGTCCAAGAATATCAAGCAATAGTAATAGCTGAGTTGTAATAAAGAGTGAATTATAACAATTACTTATATAATGTATGTACATAGTTTTCCAATTACGTCTTCATATCAGTGACAAACTGTTAGTTTTCCAAAAGAATAACTTTTAATTATGTGCTGAAGGGGGTGAGCATTATAGTCAGTCAGTCATGTGAAACTTAGAACATGATGCACGTGTGCATTGCTATACCACAGCGAGCTTAAATAATTGAGGCGAATCCCATAGTATTAACAGTATCAATAGAAGTAGTAATAGTGGAAAAGATTAAATACTGAGAAATCTAAAATATGATATAAGGAAATGCTGGGACTCACGTTCTAAGACCCCGATGAGAGAGATATCAAATATTATCCAGCTATATAAAGCATTTCAATGAATATTTTGTAAAGTTCATTCAACTTATTTGTTGTGATTTGGATATAGTTCCAGGGAAATGAAGGCGACTAAAAGTGGAACACTTCCAAATGATGAGAGACCAGAGTCTTATCCAGCTGTTAAGAATTTAAAACGTTTCTTAAGTGACCGCATTGTCTAAATTGATTCTTTCTTCGCACTGCTAATTTTCTTTGTTTTCGGATAGTAAAGTTGTTTAGAATATAAGACTTATTCGTTTAGAATTATATTATTTAGTAACTTAGACCGATAAATTCTATTTTATTTTTTCTATCAGCAATCGATTCGTTGTATAAGCAGTTCACTATAATGATTAGGGTTAGTAAAGGGGAATGTTGGTTGTTGTTGTTGTATATGTGCACGTACTTCCATTAGTTCAAACTTTTTAATCACGAGTTTCTCTTCTCTCAAAAAAAAACTTTATTTTATGGACTTAATGTGGTAACTTTCTTTGTGAAGCAAGTGTCATACATAAACTATTGATTAGTTCATCCCTATTTTGTCACGAGTAAATAAAATTAATCAAACTGCATCTTGATTAAGTTTTGTTGTATTTTATTTAAAAAAAAACCTGCTTTACAGATTCAGTTGATACGTGCGCACCGATTACAGAAGTATTCAATTAATGTTAACCACTTTCTTATACATCTGTTTATCATATATATATATATATATATATATATATATATATATATATATATATATATATAGAGAGAGAGAGAGAGAGAGAGAGAGAGAGAGAGAGAGTTTCTTTGAGCTTATATTTCCTAGGGAAATTTCCAGTGTTAATCTGAACACAACATTCTGTTCAACTTCACAATTTTTTTGAAGTTTATGTTGGTATTTATCGTCGAGTTAGGGAAACTTGCCGTCTCAAAACAATTTCATTACTTTATGTTTATCTGAAAAAAATTATTTTTATTGAACTAGCGAAGTATAATAATGTTCTCTGTAAACCTAATTCTTGTAACGCTTTTAAATTCGATTTAGTTAATATGTTGTATTTCTTAGTCATTTTAACGGTTTGTTCATAATATGCTTTGGTTATTTGACTTTTGATGAAACTACATAGGAATTATGTAGTAGTAATCAAAATAAATGTTTTTAAATATGAGTTAGTGTCCAAGTAGATGCCTATGTACTCTCTTTGAAGCCTAGTTTTTGTGTGAGGACTGATGTTCTGACCTGAGACTCGGTGGTTAAAATGTAAATGTATTAACTATTATACTATCATCTCTTTTCCTAGTTCAAACTGATAAATGTTTATAACATTACAGAAGATGTAAAAGCCAGCAGAACCCAAAAGATGTTAAAATAAATGGAAGGCGAAAAACGAAAAATTATCTAGTAAAATGATGTTCATGATTCAGAGAGAAAGATCATTAGGAAGTATATGAGGTTGGGTTTTTAACCCTCATCTTTTCAGATTTAATATTTAGCAAGACCATCACAATCAGAAACCTTCGGATGAGCAGTCAATCCTCAAAAATACCTGTTAAGTTTGTCCAGAACTCTCTCTACCTTCTGGGAGTTCAGTAGATAAACTTCTTAATGGTCTTCCAGCATACTTTTTATTTATCGAGTTACCTGTATCTCAATTGTGTTCCGATTGTCTTTTAACTATAACTTGGAGGTGAATAATTTCTAACTATGATGTTTTCTTGAAAAGAAAATCAATACTCGCTAATATCAGCAGTTTATTTTTAATGAAAAGCTAGGTTCAAATCACATGTAGGTTTTCTCTATCACCTTTTATTATATACATGTGATGCAATATATCTTCAGTAATGAACATAATAGAATCATACAAACGGTACCCTATATAAATGTAGGTGGGAATGTAATGCTATAATAACTTTTGGCCATTAAGACCATAACCTCTTTATCATGAATATTACCAAATAATCAAATGTTTTAAGTACTTCATAAGTCGAGTCAATTCCGAAGTGTGCTGTTACTTTACTTTTTCTACGGTCTCCTGCAATATTTTAAATGTTTTTTGTTAAGTTCGTTATTTGATATAAATCACCTGATGTTATTTTGTTCGATCATTTTAATATCATAATATTGTTATATCGCAGTTCTATCTCCACTACTTGTCCACAAGTACTGTCGTGCATTTAACTTTTAAGTGACAGGACACTCATAAATACATTTTCCATTTGTGGAAATTAGCATCCCGGTCAGTTGGATAATACGCTACACTAACCTGAACAATCACATCCCATTTGCTAAGGTTTTGCCGAAAAAAATACTCTTCATCACAGTAACTTAAAAAATCTCAAATTAAAGAGATTTTTCATAGATTGCAACTATGCCGAAATACGAAAACTCAAATTACGGTTGATTTGTGCTATTGTATTTGAATTTCGTCTAATTATTTTGTCAAACCCATGCTGAAGAATTTCTTGTGTTTATTATCGACACTATTAGTTAACATATTAAGGTAAAAATATATTGTCTGATTATTAGTTTTAATGCAATTTACATCTTAACAGGCATTACAAAAAATCATTATTTTATTATTAGTGTCTATAGGCAAGCCATATCGACAAATACGTGTATCGATGTGCACATATATGCACATATACATAAAGGTTTTTGACTTCAGCAAACTAATACTACTGCTACTAATACTGAGTCATCTTTTCATGAAATAAGTAGGACATTGTTTCGTTTCAAGCCTTTTTATGATATCTTTCATAAGATATGAAGTTTACTTTTTCAAAAATGCATTTCTAAAATTTAATGTACTGTTTAAGTTTAAAAAGGATACACCACGGGCCTGGCATCCAACTTTCGCCTCTGTCTTACTATCTTATTACAGTATTAATTATGACAAAATAATAATAGTAATGTAATGCAGTTCATATATGCATACTCGGGTTGTCGCACATTCTTTATGTGAGGACTAGATAGCGCTATCCAGTAATATCCAAATCAAAGTGATTTCCTCACCTCGAACTTTTTGGTTTAGAGTCACGTATCTTTATGCATTTCTCATTGATGAATTCTAAACCTTGGTTTGAGAATAGTCACATGGATTAACACAATGAAAACAAATGTTTTAATAATACTTGAACCGTATTCAGGTCATAGTAATCAGGATTAGCCAAAAGGATATTGATACAATACAGTGAAATGAATTGCGATGCTGTGACATTGGAATGCAAATGTAGAGGATTTGTATGGCACATCATCATACAGATTCACCGTCACTTGTACATAAATATGAGTTTAGGATTAGTCATATGAAGAAGTACAAATTATATGGCACAACCAGAATGATAGCTATAGTCCTCCCGTGATTATGTATTTTCAGATCAAATTCAAATAAGTAGAAGCTTGGATGGTCTTGTCTCACGAATTCACCCCAGTTATCCTGTTCGACCTGAAAGTTTCGATCAACCGAATGTTTAAAAGACTTTCCTTTTAGTCATATCAAATCACTTTAAGTATCCTACCCATCACCTGTTTGTTCAACCTTTGTTTTACTGTTTGCTTATATTCAACCGGACCACTGACTTCACGCCCTTAAAAAATGTTAGCACATTTTATTATGAAAATTATATTTTCAAGTGAAGACCAGACTTCATTTTTTTAAAGTCCTATAATCACTGTTCCTACAAAATAGGACTGTAGTAATTTAAATCAATTAGTCCGTTTTACAAACTTCGATAGAGCGATAAGAATGTGGAGTTGATCTGAAAAATGTAATGTATTTGTTCCATACATTTTGAACAATTTGGTCACATATATACTTGTCAAAGCATTTTGTATGAAAATTAATAAAGGTCAATTAAATGAAGGGTCCAAGTAGACCAAGTAATATAAAGGAGAAAGAGAATTAACATTGGATAGAAAGAATAAGAAATTG